TTTAGATGTCAGAAACTCAGTTCACTCATCATGTTAAGACTTAGTTTGTGTATCTATGATTTATTGGGAAAAAAATCATTTGGCAGATTAAAACAAGAGACAATGGGGGTCACTTTGTGGGATTTCCGGGGAAGAAATGGTGAACTGAAGACAGCTCTGCTAAAAGTGCAGCTGATGACTGCAGCAGAATGAAGAGCTGGCAAGTAGGCTGGCTCTTTGTAATTCTTCTCTGGATTACTCACAAGTGCTCCAGACAGCTGCTCCTTGTGAGGAGACCACAAGACAGTGGTCTCTGATGGGTTTAGAGCTCTGGGAGATGAGGGAATAGCTATTTTCACTCAAACCATGGTTGGTGCCTTTAGGGACAGTGGGTTTGCATATTTCCTCTTCTAATCACTTTTGGAAATTACTTGTTAACTGCTTTTTGGATTAGGAACCTTTATAATGACACATTTTACAGCACTGGGTGAGTTTCCTTCAATCCTTAGTGAAAGAAGTTTTAAATATAAGATTAAGAACTTAAAAAAATGTTTGAATAAACAGCAAAAGGGTTATTAGAACTTTGATTTTGGAAAGTTACAAATGGACTAAGGGTCCAGATGGATTTGAAATAAGAGTTTGGAATTAATTATAGGAATCCTTCCTGTGGGAAAATGCTTTTGTTTTGAATTCTTAAAAAAAAAAAGATAGGATGGGACTTTGAAGGTTGGACGCTAGAGAAAACCAGAAGGAACTAAAGATTGTAATTAAAGGACAAGAATATTTAAATTTCACTTACTAATACCGAATGGAGCAAAATACTTACTGAATGTATTGAAGGATATTTGTCAACAATGGACCCAGAAGTTAACTTTAAGAGTGTCAACCATTATAGATAGACTGTGTTTAAAAGATGTTATAGAAGAACAAGTTCTACTGGACAAGACTGAGACTGATCTGAAAGTGGATTTAAAAATGATAGGCTACAAGAATGATATGCAAAAAGATGCTACACTAGATATGCAAATGAAACTGGCTGATGTCTTAATAATTAAAAAGGATATATAAATTACAAACCAAAACAGTGACCTGGATAACTTTCCTATATTGGGTTTACTATTATTAAAGCTTCGAAGAATTTTGTGAGATGGGACAAAGAATAAACGAAAAGAAATCAAGTTCTAGGATGTTATTTGAAGGAATTACAGATCAAGACTGTTAAAAAGGAATGAATATAAAC